GCAAAAATCAACCCAAAGTAGGCCATAAATGTAATAAAAGTTTAAACTTTTCAACTTAACCCTAAATTAAGGTTTTGTAATTGAAAGAGAATTATAGAAGTTAAAAAGGCATTTTGGAATTATTATAATTACAAGTTTCATCTCTTTCTCGCAGTTGATATCATCGTGTTGTATAAAGGTCATTATTATCAATATAGAAAGAGACAATGGCATTGAAGCATTAGACATGACATTACTTTGAGGCCCATGAATTACTGGTGACATGTTTTAGATTAGGTATAATTGATTTGGTCCTTGTTAAGGCCCATGAATTGGGCAAAATCATTGGTGAAGAAGTTAAGGGCCTGGAGGACTAGGGAACAACATAAAATAGTGTAGGGCCGTATTTGGGCCACTTTCTCGAAGCCCAATACTCCAGGTGGTTGGTCCATTAGACCAAAATCTGAAACACAGGCTTATGTGCCTTAATGGGCCGTCAAAAGACACAAGCATATCTGGTGGCCTACCATCAAAACCAATATTTTAAGCCTTTTAGGAGAGGTCATAATAAAGTGATGGTATGTTATTACCTACGTGGTGGGTACTAATTTTATCTATATAAAAAAAATATAAATAAATGTTAAGTCTGTTATAAAGAATAGGGTTAAATTGTCTAAATAGATAAGTTTATGAGTTTATTTACTTTAATAAAAATTTAAAAACTTAATTGAGAATTTGAGATAAATTTGAGGATTAGGGTTTTACCTTTGAAAAATTGCATTTATTAGTCTAATTTTGGCTTTTGCAGAATTTTTTTTTTCAAAAAATTGGAACAAATAAACATGCAATCAAATTCATAACTTGTACTTTTTGTAAATGTGCTTTCATTGTTCACTTTCCTAATCATTGTTGAAACATTTTTTTAATTATCTCTCAAGTAGATGGAACTCTTTCCTTGTGGATCATCAGGGCTATCATGCTTGATATAGTTAATGAAAAAGTGAGACTGGGGAAAAGTTAAAGATTGTTGAAATAATGTTTTGTTTTTTGGTCTTCCACATTGGATGATGATAATGTTTTAAGTATTTTTTTTTATAAAGATTAAGGATTTAATCTTAAATTTATAATTAAAAATACATATAATTTTACCATCAGACTATATAGCTGATAGTTGATGTTTTCAATACTAGCAAATGTTCAGTTTAAACTTTTTTCCTTCTTTGTGCATTTAGAATATACCTTGAAACCCAATGGAATTTTACTTTGAATGTTTTACTTAAGCGGGGGATTCTTCTTTATTGCCTTTCTCTTCAAAAAGACAAAAGAGCCCCTATAAGACATAGGAATGGACGCGAAAGGGGCACTCCCAGTAAAAGGAAGAAATTTCATAGGTTTGAAATCAAGAAATTTATGAGCAAGAAGAAAACAAAAATAATGAAATTAGAAGGAAAAAGCCTAAAGCTGACAGGTTGCATATCTTATTCCTTTTTCTTTAGATTTTTTTTTTTGGAATTTTTAACTTATATATTTAAAGTGTATTTATTG